TCAAATATTATAATGAAATGTGCAAAGGCCATATGTTAGAAAACTAAAAGGAAAAAGCATGCTCAGCATTTCTCAAGATGAAAGAACTGAAGAAAAAATTGCAACCTGGATATTCAATATTGAAGGATTCTACTGGCAAAATAATGAATGATGTAGAAAGCATCAAAAGAAGATGGAAGGAACACACAGAGTCATTGTACTAAAAGAAATGTTTGGATGTTCAACCATTTCAAAAGGTAGCATATGATCAAGAGCCAAAGCCAAAGTCCAACACTAAAGCCTTTGGCAAAGAACAAGGCTCTGGGAATTGATAGAATATGAAGTGAAATCTTTAAACAAACTGATGTGGCATTGGAGGCACTCACACATGCATATCAAGAAATTTGGAAGCCAGCTACCTGGCCATTTGCTGGGAAGAGATTCATATTGGTGACCTAATAAAATGCAGAACTCATATAAGGCAATATCATTAATATCAAATGCAAGTAAAGGTTTCTTAAAGACAATTTTTAGAAATCACTGTACCAATATATTTGCAGGGGACTGTCAGAGGTTCAGGCCAGATTCAGACAGAAACGTGGAATGAGGGGTTATTATTGCTGATAAGAGATGGATCTTGACTGAAAACAGAATATCTGAGAGATGTTTACTTATGCTTTATTCATCATGCAATGGCTCTTGATTGTGTGGATTAAGACAAGTTATTGACAACATTGCGGTGAATAAGTATTCCAGAACAGTTAAATGTGGTTATGAGAAACCTGTAAATATACCAAGAGGCAGCTGTTTGAACATAAGAAGGCACACTGAATGGTTTAACATTAAAAAAAAAAAAAAAGATATGTTCCAGAGTTGTATTCTTTCACCATATTTATTCAGTCTGTATGCTGAGCAAGTAATCTGAGAAACTGAATCGTATGTAGAATAGCATGAAAACAGGATTGGAGCAAGACTTACTAACAATGTGCGATATGCAGATGACATAACCTTGCTTGTTGAAATACTTACTGACAAAGGTCAAAGACCACAGCTGGCAGTATAGGCTGTAACTCAATGTAAGGAAAACAAAAATCCTCACAATTGGAGCAATAAATAACATCATGATAGATGGAGAAATTGTTGAATTTGTCAAAGATTTAATTTTGCTCTGTTTAACCACCAACATTCATAGATGCAACAGTCAAGAAATCACATGACACACTGCATTAGGCAAATCTGCTGTACTGTGAATAACTCTTCAAAATGTTTGAAAGGAAGGGTGTCAGATTGACGACTAAAGTGTACCTCACTCAAAGCATGTTATATACAATAGTTTCATACACATGTGAAATGTGGACATTAAATAGGGATTATCAGAAAGGACGGGTCCCTGGAGAAGGAGATCATGCTTGGTAAAGTGGAGGGACAGAGAAGAGCAGGGAGATCCTTAATGAAATGAATTTCCACTGTGGCAGAAGGAATACATTCAAGTGTAGCAATGATTATGAGCTTTGCATAATACCAGGCAGTGGTTTGTTCTGCTGTGCATACGGATGCTATGAGTGGGTACCAACTCAATGGGCAGTTCAGTGCAGAGTCTACACACCACACCAGGACTATTGAGTTAGATTGCTATTGTTGTTGTTAAATGC